AACAAGCACCGTTTGTCCCCACGCGACTTCGGTACTTTGAATAAGCCAACCACATGCGACTGTTCATTGGGATCCAACCGATCGGGGCAGCTTCCGCCCAAGGGGATAAGAGCAATGCCCACACCGACTTGAACGGCATTTTAAGCCGCATCATCTCCCGAAAAACGAAGAAGGGGAAAAGACCGTCAGGGTCGCATGTTGGAGATCGCAGCATGTTCACAGAACTCAAATCTTGCAGACATGTTATTGATAAGCAGCAGATATCAAGTGATAGGGTACCTAGTGTTCACATAACTGTTGCCTGTAAGCCAATCTGCAATAAAGTGCGAAAACTGAGGCATGTCAGTATTAGGGAGGATCGAGGGCTCCAAATAGAAGCAGATGAACTGGGATTTTTAACTTGATTGAACATAGAGTTGTTGATTGGATTGGAGTGACGCCCTGCGATTGTGTGTGAGTTGAAACTAGAAGATGAGTGACTATTGAGGCAAGTTGGGAAAGGGCCAAGAATGGAAGAATTGAAAACGGGGGCATATGAGTGAAGGTGGAGCGGGACGCTAAGGATGAAAAGCGCAAGAGGAAAATAAAAAGGCGGGAAGGCTTGAGTAGTAGCATCCAAACGCCTATCTACTTTGCTCGATGCAGCAAATAGGGCACTGTTGAGTACCCTCTGCTACGGCCAGAAACTCAAATGGTTAGAAGAGAAAGACCTGATCTTATCGCGCTAGTGGATTGTGCCGATAGTCGCTGTGAAAAAAATCAAGCGGCAAATGCGAGTCTATGCCGATTGCTCAACTGGTTTGAACGCTGCTGTATCCCACACCAGATATTTCGCAAAGATGAATGGTGGTAGGTATTCCGCTAAGCTCCAGCTGTCCGTTGTTTACCTCTAGGTAGGCGTTGATGATGGCGCGAGAATACTACTGACCGTCAACACTCATTATGGTATGTACAAGAACAACCACTTATCTGTTAGAGTGAAAACAAAGCTAGTCATCCTTCAATAGCTAAAATGAAATGAAATGTTTCAGCTTATACGCCGTAACGGCGCTTCGCTGCCGCGCGACCACCACCAGTCGCGCGCGGGCTGTGTATACCGCGAGGACGCCCACCCCTACGCGGATTCGAACCGGTGACCTTATGGTTAGAAAGCAAACGTGCCAACCACTCGGCCACCGGCCGACACAATGTCCGCGGCAGTCCCTAGAGCCGACGTATACGTAGATGCAAGCACTGTAATGGGTTTGGGTTTGCTTTCTACCAGCTACTGCTACTTAACTGCTATCAATCCCGCACTGAAGATGCCACCTCGAATGGTGGCGAAACGTTTGCAATCAAGTTGCCCAGCTCGGAGAACCCCACAACAACTGAGATACGGGTGTGTTGCACACATGCTTGGTAGATATAAGACAACTCTGGTCTGGAGAAATTACGATTCACGGTGAATGTGGTAAACTGATTGATTGATTGACAGGGTGCGGGCTTTGAGGCAATTGAGGTGAAAGAGGGCGCCAATACTAGAGGGGTAATCTCATGCTCAGCTCCAGATTTTTAAGGGTTGAGAAACAATCAGAGAGGGCGCATTGACGACGGAGTCAAGCCACTTTTCAGCGACACAACTATTATCCTACAACCGAAGTGCAATGTGAAGCCAATTGTGGTGATTAGTGTCGTCTGGATAATAACGATTCACTGTAGTTGGAGAAATGAGTCAAAGTAAAAGCGGGAAAAAAGAGTTGACTAAAGAAAAGTGTGTAAAGTTAGCTGAATTGGAAGGCTGCAGGATAGATGCAAGAGATCGATTATAAGAACCCCAGTGGTACAGGGACAGTAAGTACCTGAACATCGCAATGACCGACCTCAATGTTTGCTAGCACGAAGAATGCACACAAGTAGGGAACCGACCAAATCTTTGATCAATTTCTTCGTGCCAATCCGTCATGTTTCTGACTTATCACCAACCGGTTTCTCACAGCCAGACGCAACAGCAAAAACAACAACATCGTCGTCATCGTCAACAACAACCACAATAAGAAAACAGCAACAATAACAAACAATGCATAGCCAGGCGGGCTGTCAAGTGTAAGTGGTTCAAGCATATTGATGGTTTCGTTCCAAACACCGACTGAAATGCTGTGGTAATGCGCACTCGGTGATTTATACAGATACAAAAAACACCGCAAAAATACCATTGCCCAGGGATGGTCAGTTGCTTAATGTCTTCAACAGGCAGTAATCATGTATCTGATCAAGAGAGTGACACAGACCTCATCGTAGCGTTGTACACCCCCACTTGTGGTCAAAAGTCCCACCGTATCCATTGATGACAGCGACTGTGGAAAGCTACACTGTTCTTACTCGTGTGCTCAGTAATAGGTTCAGTGGCGTGACCAAGCAGCTAGTCACCTATTTAGATGAACCGATTTATCACTCCGAGATGCCGTTCGAGAACAGGTAGGATCGGAGATGTGAACATCAAAGGGCGGCGACAGTTTGCCGTAAGTGTGCGTAAAGTGCGCTGATAATGTTTACCTATTTTTCAGGCAGACCTTTCCCCAGAAGACAGTTCAAATGGGCACAGCAACCCACCGAATCGAAGAAACCTTTGATGTCGAGGAACACGACTATGGTGGCTAGCTAATTAATATAGCGGTGCTTCAGTAGTTGACAAAGTCGAAATGAGATCGATGCAGCCCCGACCTAGATGAAATTCGGTTCGCTCCTCACGAATCTGACTTTCACGGGTGTCAGCAAGTCTGTGAAGAACGACAGAGGCCAGTATCCCAGAGGCAACTGAGATCACATTAATCCTTCTTATATGAAATCATGTGGAACACTGGTAGCAGGAGTGTACACTGCATATCAGCGCATTGAAGATGCCACCTCGCATGGTGCTGAAACGTATGTAATCACCTTAACAAGCTTGGAGAAGCGATCAACAGATGATCCATCTTATGACTACCGCATTCGGAACCTGAGTCCCATTTGAAAATTAGGACTATTACGAAGCATCATTCGGTTTTAACCTATAAAGTGTCGCTTGTACGGAGTTTGGGACAAGCCCAGAGGAAGCCGTTTTCGAATTTATCGGTCAGTTATACGGCAGAGTTCCTAACCTAGAGAAGTCCAGGAGGAGAGGGTCAAGTGTGACCGTTTAGGTTAACAAGTCGAAGAAAGCAGGCATAGAGTAATAATACGCGCAACTCATTTCTCGTGGCATCCTTTAGATTTCGACAGCAAGTCAAGAGTCAGGAAACAGAGATTTCAGAACATAAATGAGTTTCACGGCACTCAGGAAGTCGTAATATTCTTCTTCTCACGGCTCCCAACGATCCAATGATATAGTCACTTCTGAAAATCCTAGTCAGACGAAGTTGCATGGTGTTACGAGCAAATGGAAGCAGTTCCCGACTAACACATTTCCTAGTAGTCCATGAACGATATAGGCTGAGTGGATAAATAGAGTCGAATGGTTGTTACAGAGCGCATTGTAGGCGGCCGCGTTTCCTTTCTAGTTCGGTTACCCCACTTGTTAGTGACATTCGAAGTGCCCGTCTAGATTGATCCTGCAGGTGACGGGTAAAAGGTATCAGCAGTACGTGGGTACGCAGTACCGAAGCTCGGCTGCCGCGCAACGACAACTAGTCGCACGTGGGCTGACCATAATGTGGGGGTCGTTGGGTCCTTAGGCAGGCCCTTAGATTACATGGCAGGCTTTTGAACGTTTAAGCTGCTGGCCGGCAAAGCATCACGCTCAGGATTTGATCCCCGATTCTTAAGCTGTGCGGCAAAGAAATATACCACAGTACCAACGGTGTACCAAAGGTATCATTCGTACGCCGGTGTGCAGTACCGACTCCCGGCTGCCGTGCAAACACCACCGGTCGCACGTGGGCTAAAAATACTCCTAGAGTCGTCCGGTCCCCTACACACGCTCGAATGCGCGCCCACAGATGATAAGGCAGGTTTGTGATACTTTGGGCCACGGGCCGGTGACGAATAGACACATTTACAGTTGAGCGTTTCGCAAATACCGGAAACGTGAGTATTAAGGGGGCACCCAAAGAGCGTGCGCCACATCAGCTGAAGATGAGCGAAAAACTGTGATGGGGAAGTGGTCAGTTAGAAATTGTGGAAAACGGCCATCGTGTTGGAAATTGCGCAGCTCATATAAACGGGTTATGAGTGCTACAGGGCTAAAGCGATCGGTCGATAATGTCAAGACAATAAGTGTTTATTCCGAATTGGTCTTTCTGTCACGTCATCAATACCAATCATGGTATGCGTGCTATCGGAAAACTGAAAAATTTGAACATAGGAATCGCCGTCAAAGAATTCCGGACCACGATCGGTGTGAACACATGAAGAAACACTATAAAAGTAAGCAATTTTCGGTGGAGCTTCGAAGTTGAATCGTACAATACGGGTAGAAAGCTGCCCGCGACTCGATTGAGAGATAGTTGGCACTGTAAGTCGCTAAACACTAAGTTGGCATCCTCGGGGACCGGAAATATGCAAGCTCCGTCGTTGGAACCGTTACCTTATGCCCACTGTTCGTAGAGATTACACAGCAAAGTATAGCGAGCGATGCCAATCAACCTATCTGATTGGCTATGTGGATGTTGAAAGACCCGACGTGGAATGGGGCCTTCGGTTTGACAAGCAGTCTGGCTTCCTCGTTAGTGTAGCCGATGAAATTATACGTGATCACCTGGTGACTACGAGAAAACAGCGCGGTTGAAAAAAGTGGGGAAAGAGGAGCGAGGAAAAAAGCACGAGCGACCGGTGCAGGTGGACAGAAGTTGCATTCTAAGGTGCCAGACTATTCGTCTTAAAGTCATTAGATGAACCAACACAATGGGGGAAGCAGATGGAGCAGAAGCAGGACGATGCGGGAGGCACGGAACTGAAAATACTCGTCCGTTCTCCATATTCTAAGAAGTGCACACTACGGTTATATAAAAATATACGGAAACCTAGGAAATTGATTGGGTACTCACGCAAACCGTGAAACACGGAGGGGAGAAGTGATCGGGCGGATCAAATGGTTGGCTTGTACAGAACTCTTGCCAATCACGCCGCAAAGCTGTTTGGCAGAGGTTGCGATTGGAAACTATTGTGCTCCGTTTCGAGGTGAGATAACCTTCATCTGAACTATCAGGAGAATTGCTAAACACATAGAGAGTTGAAATCAGCTGTAGTACAGAGTCACCCAACAGTTCTAGCCGTTCCAAATCAACAAAGGCACAGGCTCCCAGAAAGGTGGTTGCTTCTAAGATCTTGGATGGTGATGGCACATAGTGATCTGGCTCCAGGTTGTTCCGAATACCTCGCGTTTTACTCCACGCATGATCGATTGAACGATTTGAATCGCGATCCATTGGCGCAGATCTATCAATTGCACTGAAACCCTCTGCACTCTGTGAATCCAATCGATCGGGAAGTAAGACAGAGGCAAGGTCTTTAGAAGGACGCACTGACAGTAGTTCGCACAAAACGGTGAAAAATTCCGCGTTCAGCAAGGCTCGATTGAGTTGATAAAGCACGGTTGGAACGATGGAGAGTTGGAACCACAGAAAAGCGGTGAGCGGGTGTACGGAACAGAGATGAGAGGGAAAACGGGATGAGGATTTTTTTGAAGCAGTTGTATTGGGTGGACGAAAGCCAGCTGACGCTCTGCTCGCATGAAGGTGACGGGAAAGCCGGTAACAGGTGATCTGCCAGTCAGCATTCGATCGAGCTGGACTGATTGCCTCGCTGGAAACAAAAAGTCCGACATCTGCTGGGGGAAGACACGAGGGCCGGACGATCAATCCAGGCCAGTGGCTTGGGTGGATTTCCGAAAGTTTGCACGGATAAGCACTGACAACACCACCGGAGGGCGTGATGTTGTTCTGGTTGGCGGCGATCACGTGGTCCGGATACCAAGATTTGCGGCATGTAAACCAGTCCATGAGATTCATGCTGCTTTGGAAGTCAATTCCCTTAAACCGACCATTACCTGTGCCGAAATGAGTGTCACGGAGATAACGGAATAAATATGAACATCAGCAGAAAGGCAGGTATGGATGAAACGGTAGAACGCAATCTCATTCGGGACACAAGACATGGATCGAATCAAAATAGAAACTAAATGAATAGTGTAAAACCAGGTGCAGCACCCTTAAGGAGATACGCTCACAGCACACCCCTCGGAAACCACAAATAGTCCAAAGCAAAAAAAAAGTTGAGCGCGAAAATAAAAAACTGGTGAGTAGTAAGCAGTAGTAGTAAGTGGTAGTAGCAGTAGTAGTAGTGGTAGTAAGAAAGTAAGTAAATAGTAATAGTAAGTAGTAGTAATAGTAGTAATAGCAGTAGCAGTAATAGTAGTAGTAGTAGTAATAGTAGTAGTAGTAGTAACAGTAGTACTAGTCAAGAGTAGTGAATAGACATAGAGCCAACAAGAACAATAGAGATTAGCGGATAAGGGGCGGAGTCGCCGCGTCATGATCATCGTGACACTAGTTGAGCGTGAGCAACAAACTTCTGCTACTGTGCCACACGTAGGAAGTCAACCATAAAGGTTGGTTTCCACAATCTATTGCTGACGGACACTGATGACGATAGAAAGTTTCGTTTTCACTTGGCGAAGTGATAATAGACCATGTAAGACGGTTTTAAGTATGCTTAGCCAAAACTGGCGAGCGGAATTGCTTGGGATAGTTGGCGAATTGTGAGCACCCACAAAATGGAGATAATAGGGTGATAGAGGGAAAACCCGAATCTTGTTCCAACGTGTTGGACGCACGGGCTTCCTGGATAGAACGCTGCCTTTGATTTCATTAAACGCATCCGTTTGTGATCAAGCTAACTCTGAAGCCCACGCCGAAACGTTTGCTTCGATACTATAAGCCTTATATTATGTTTAGTTTTACGCAAAACTATCCCCTCAGATCACTAAGACGTATGGTGCGCGGGCAATGACGGCCTTATCTAACCTACTGAATGCCCATCAGAGGAAATACAACCCTGGAAGACGAATGCGAGTGGAGCTTGCGTAACTGCAAAAAGCTAATCCAACCATGCACGGTAAAAATGCGAGGCACATCGTGAAAAAAATACAACCATTGGGCATACCTAAGGCAAGTTCTAGTTGTGAAATCGCGGCGGTCGACACACAGATAACTGCTGCATGTGCGGATGCTGTATCAGTACACTAGTTCAGAGATAGATATGAGCTTCAAAAAGTGGTCAACATTTCGATTGTTCTCATCAGTCTCATAGACAATACAAGCAGAAACACGTACACAAATATATACATGGGGAATAAACACGACAAAGCAGAATAACATGTTGGTGCAGAAACAGGTGACGAGAGAACTTCAGATCATATTGCTACACGGATACATCAGTGAATCTTAGTATAGGCAGCTGAAACCGGATGGGAGGCAGATATCAAGAATGAGGTGCGTGCCCATATTACATAACCCAAGTAACCCACAGCGTTCGATTATGTGCATAAACAAATGGCCTATCACAAAGTTGCTAGGTGGTTGATGAAATGCTTATATCCCGTGTGTGAACCCTAGCTACGCACTGCCTGAAAGACACATTTGAAGTAGCGGAGACGATAGAACAATTCTCACTGGGCTCGGAATGAGGATACTCTATAGACTTGGATATTCACCAAAGTGTCTCTCCATGAAACAGTTGATGATTTGTGTCATTTCATCCAGAGTCAAAACATGTATGTTGGCCTCCCTGTGGAAAATTTGAGGGATATGATTCTACTGTGCACAGAAAATGTACGTGTTGAGTTTGAGGGGATGGCACACAAGCAGATCGACGGAGTCGCCATGGGCAGCCCTTTGGGACCGGTTTCGGCAGATATCTTTCTCGGCTTGATCGAAAGACATGTTGCTGCCAGTATTAGAGAAGCAAAATTATACAAAACGTATGTGGATGACATTCTGGTGTTCCCCAACAGCAGACATTTTACCCGCTTGTCAACCGCTCTGAATTCCATTCGTCACAACATATCGGTCTCCCACGAGATGGAACAACATGGCTTCCTGTCACTTTGGGATATTCACCTTAAGAGACGGAAATATATTGCAGCGCCACGTTTACCGTAAGGCAACCCGGAGTTAACAGTACCTTCATTGTTCCAGTTTCGTCCCAGCTACATACAAACACGGCCTAGTGCAAACGCTCTTCTAGATGGCCAGATCAATTTGTAATCCGGAATCGCTAGAAGCTAAAGAGAAGTTTCTGCATAGGACCTTAGTGTTGACTGGTAATCCAGAACAGTTACCTTAAGTGCAAAACAGACTCCCCAAAAAGAAATTGCCGGTGCTAACGGCAGAGAAAAATGCTGTCTATTGGGTTTGCCGTTCAAGGGGGACCGTGTGGCAAATGACATCGGACACAAGCTCAGGTTGATCCTAACGTGCACCTAGACGAGTGCCCAGTTGCACCTTATGCACACCACTCAGAAACTTGTTGTTTATGACTGTCAGAGCAACTGTTCGGCTAGTTCGGTTTCTCATGTGGTGGAACAGATCATCTGCAGTTGCGGTGATGTTTACGTAGGTAAGACTAACCATCGGTTGGCTCAGAGGGTGACGGTGAGTGGAACTACTGATGACGCAACAAACCGGAGCGCCCCTCCCTCGGAATGAACCGGATTCCGTCATCACCGATCACCAAGCACCTCGTGACAACTGGTCACAAGGTGGACCGGAAGGATGCGTTCAAGGTGCTATTACGCATTCGGAACCCGATAAGGTTGGCAATCAGTAAAGCGTTGCTAATTAGAGCATATCAAGGTATGTTATGTGTATGAAAACTCTTGAGGCAATCAATTAGATTGCTGTGTTCTTGATTTTCACGTTTTTATCGGTGTGCCAATTTTTCCCCTGTGTATATTGGTGTAAGAGTTTCTGTTAGTATTTCGCATGCGACTGATGAGAACAGACCGAATGTTGACATATCGCAAACTGTCTTCTTTCTACTTCGATGAAGTGGACGAAGAGAGTTCAAGGTTTCACGTTTCAAAAAGTGGATGAATAGGGTCCGAACAGATCGGTTGGACGAATGATATGGGGCACCAAACAACACAATAACAGGTTATGACCACTCGTACCAAACGCAAAGCGGCGGGAATATGTTTACCAAGTAAAGAATTGCAATGCAGAAAGCCTACTTACACAACTGGACAATTGTTAGATACCCGAGGACATGCGCTCGACGGGGATTATAGGCGAATTGGTCCATGTACTGCGTGCAATCGACCAAGGCTTCTGTTGTGACCGAATGCAATTCACGTTTGACCAGTTCCATGAGAAGATGGCACAAAATCACATGAGTGGTTTGGACGACTTGCAACTGAGAGTTGGACAAAACTGGTCGTACGGCCAGGTGAACATAGGCTCGTGCCATTCCACGGGTCAGATAGAGCGGTAAGCGGCATACGGGGTCAACCTGGGAAAGACGGAGGCTGAACAATTGCTCAGATGGATATCATAGGACAATGCGCCATAGGAAGTGGAGTATACGGATCGTAAGGTCAGATAGTAAAGTGAAGTATATCGGAACGAACAAGTAAGTTACCTAGCCACTCGGCCAGTTGATAAATGGGCCCATAAAAGAGGACAGAGAACTCATACATATAACAAATGAAATCCCAAACCGGATCGGCTACAAAAGCAGTGAAAATGATTTCATCTACAGAAAGCAATCGAGGAAACGAAAACGTTGTTGCCTCTGATGAATTGCAAGTTGAGCTTTACATTCCAGTCCGAGCAATATCATATGCCATCTCACCATACTACCTGCTCGTCGTAATTTGTAAATATCACCGTTGTTTGGTATGTTATCATTAGGTATTAATACAATTACTGATACGACGAGGCAACCCGATGCGCCGCACTTTGGTATTCGGAATTCTGTTGACGTGAAATTAAAATCAAAAATCTGAATGATAAAGCGACGGGATGCAATGACGCTTGCGGCAGAACCGACAACCACAATGCATATACATCATCATGCTATCGCATTACCCTGGAGTAGACAAAAGCTAAAAGGGGTGGAAAACAGGTAGGCTACGTTATGAAAGCGAGGATAGTTCGGTTACTTTAGGATAACTGACACAGTTAGGATAGCGTTCAATAGTTGCCAGAAATAAGTAACAGTCATCGTCATCATCAACAGCAGTACATCAGCAGTTGCACTGCTGCTTAGCTGCCATACAACCATAATGACCTACGGAGCGAAGAATAATAAGAGGGAGAAGTGTGACCTAGCGTAAAACCTTAATGCTCTAAACAAACACTCAGGGTCATGAAGCACACACCTTGTCAACAACATACTGTCACAAACAGCTGGCTATCTGGAAAAGATAAGGCGGCACCGAGGAGACAGCTTGGAGCTACGCTTTTGGGCCGAGGATATATACTTAGCTGGACGACATTGCGCGCATATGTTCTAGATATTCGTGTGCTTTCAGGTTGCTGCTAAAGACGGCGTTACTGTGCAGCAAATTTGAAAAAACTAGGAGCGTATGCGACGTCAAAAAGATAGGGCAGACTCGCATCACCACAGATGACATTTCTGCTTGTGTGGTTATTCGTAAGGTGTCAAGAAGCTGCGATCTGAGCATTCGTAAACTCGCTAGGCATTGCGACACCACCAGATATGGTGTCCATATGATTTTGAAGGAAAGGAAATTCCGGAAGTATAACGCACGTCAAGTGCAGGTTTTAAACCCATGTGATTCGGAGAAGCGGCTTCATTTTTGCCGCAGGTTTTTGAGTGTCATGGACATCCATTCAATTCTTTTTACCGATGAGGCTGTTTTCCGTTTGAACGGTACCGAGAAGCAACAGTTTAGGGAAACGTGTAATCCACGTCGATACAACGCTTCACGTACACAACATGGCGCAAAGCTCATGGTATGGACTGGGTTAACTGGCCGAAGAATCATAGGACCACTTTGCTTTTCCGGTAATGTAACCTGTAGGTTGTTGTTTTGTAGTACTAATGCGTTACGCCTTCCAGCATCCACGTACAAGGAATTACTGAAACATTGTATCATTCCGGAACTGGAAACCGCTAGGTTATTAAGTACCGTTTGATTGTAACAAGATAGCGCGCCTGCATACTATGCACAAACGGTGCGGGATTTTCTCAAGCAGACGTTCCCTTGCCGTTGGATCGGGCGGGGAGGACCTATAGTGTGGTCTACTCGGTCACCAGATTTGGACCCATTGAATTGCTTCCTCTGGGGTTACTTGAAACAGTGGGTTAACAAAAAGAAGCCAAATTCTCTTGAGAAATTGAAGCAGAGCATTTTGCACGAATATCGCGGGATCACAGTTGGTACTTTGGAGAAAGTGCCAGCAAAACCATCAGGCGAATGCTGAACTGTACGCAAAACCCGCCGGTGGGCACTTCGAACATCCACTTCGCTGACAAATCTGGGCATTACACAGATAACCTGTAAATATAGGTATCATTCAATGATTTATCGACCGAATGCATGCGCTGGCTAATGCTCTCTTGTTGTTAGGACCGCCAGTTCGTGGTTTCTCCTAGGGATTTGCGTACGTGTGTCGTGTTATAAATTCCTCGGGATATTCGTTCTCTCGTAGGTCGCCCCCAACTTGAAATTTGTCCCTACGGTTCAGTTACTCTATTCCACCAAATCCATGTGGTAGAATAGCAGTCGAGGCTCAGATCAATGAGAAGACAAGCAGTTGCCTTACAACTACGAGGGTAGACCTTACCAAAGTCATGCGCTAGTGACTCAGAGAAGTGACGCACCATGACGAGGGACCATTGCGAGATAACAGCTACGCAATGAAAAGGTTGTAATACTGAGACAATATATGGGATTAGGTGTCGTCATAATGCAGAAACAAGGCTAAATCCAGAAAATGCACAAGTTTGTCGCAGACTCTAGTCGATTCGCTCTTGAGGTGACAGACAGCGATAAAACCGAAGCGGTTATGAAATCAAACGTTCGCGAACTAAAGACCCTAACGACGGTGCGATGGAATCATGCAAAACTTTGACACAACCGATCACTCGCGCATCTCGGCTTACTTATTTGTAAGGACTGTCGAAAAGCAGTGTTTCCCTACATCCCTTGACTACCTCATGTTTCATTCTGGCCTTGTACCACTTTATCGCACCCCGTACTGCTATGGGTTCAGTTCACACTGACTATGGGCACCGCAACCCTGCGGGTAGCGAATCACAAGTATCTCTTGCGCAGTGTTTTCATTCGTATGATGAGAAACAATTTCCATATTTACGGATCGTATCTGAGCTTCCATATTCATCATAAGTGAGCTATATTAAACAATGTACAATCGGCCGGATTCCGTTGCCTAGCCAACGATCACCCCACGGCAGATATCCGCATCATTTACCCACGTCGAATTGGGATGGAGCGAAATAGCAACTTCCACTTGCAAATGGCAAATGCCATATGAACACACGAACAGTTTTGCCTCATGCGGAGCCATTCATTTTTGTGCAGACGCTACAAGCTGATGAGTAAATGTGATTCGCTGAAGTGAGTACATTCTATTTGCGGCTTCAAAGCACCTTCTCACCGCAACCCTGTGGTGTGCTCGAATACAGTGCACAACTGACAAACAACCATCCGGAAATGTTTCTCTAGAGAGCGTGATAAACCTTAGTTGTGCTTGCCCTACATGCTCTGCGTTTCCATATGCAGCGTCCAGCCGCCTACGTTGGTGTAACGGGTTAAACAATTCGACAAACGGCCACACACACTACCCATGTCCCTCAAGTCTTCATGGTTCAATTTTCTTAATTATTATACTCTTATCAATGTCCTTATCCACTGGCTCACCAAACAAAATCAACGACAGGCGGTAGAACATAATTGCTTGCCATACTACCGTGTTAGAGTGGCATCTGTTTGTCAAGCTCCTACATGATTGTTCTACAACGCGGCAACTAAATTGGGTATGCGACGCGACCGCACGCCCCAACTTACGGGAAATCACCGGTGTTCCCCCGATTACAGAACTGACTATTTGTAGCAGAGTATAAAGTGCATTCTGACCCGTCATCATAATAATGTAAGAACAACACTCGCTTAGCACAGGTAGTTTATTGCCAACAGAATGTTTAACAGATCGGCCAAATGAACAACACGTCCATACTTCTTACTGACATGTTGAACCATTTGTTGGCAGTGCTGTTGTGTCACTAAGGCCCGTGCTTCAGACCCCGCGTGCTCCAAAAAGCGAATCCGCTACTCGATTTTATCTAGAACGTCTTCAGGATCCCATAGGATCATCTCGAAGTACCGTCCCCAAATTGCCTGTTTTACATGAGCCTCTGTTATACTTCAGATGCTCTCGATGGGATTGAGAGCTGGAGAGTACGGCGCAAGGCGTAGAAGTCTCCCAGAGCAGTACGGTTCCTCCAGGAAAATGTGCTCCAGGTCGGGTTGATACAAATCAAAAGACATCTTTCCATAAACACTGCTCCGTTGGTATCAAGCACTTGTCGCAGCCACTGAGCGCACCTTTGCTTGTTGTAACTTCCTCACAGAACCGCACACGCTATAAAGCCGTTGGTTTTCATGGCGCCGACAAGATGAACATTCGGTCCCCGGTTTTTCGCCAATGTACACTGTGTTCGACTACCACGTCGAGAGCGGCCACGAGTGCGGGAGCAAACTAAGTTGAAGTTGGTCTCATCAATCCACACCGGTTGCCTTCCACCTCGTAATCCATGAGCTGCAAAACGAATGACCTGCGTGGCTTTTTGTTCTCCAGTGTTTTCATGGACCCCGGAATGGTGCAGTTTCTTCATTGTTATCTGTTTACCATCCAAGTATCGTGAGACGGTGCTGGTACTTACTGAAAGTTCAAACTCCGCCTTCAACCGCAAACGAAAGAGTTCAAGGGTAACGGTAGGCTCCGCAGAAACTTACACCACCAGATAGTCGATGTGGCTTTTCCCCAGTGCTCTGCAACGGACTTTCTCGTGCTGCCCCACCGGTTCCGTCGATTCGTACGCTCGTATGCAGTTGCGGCAAGTTTTCACGTTCACCTTCAGTGAGTAAGGGACTTGCTTCCAATCGTCTTCCTCGTATGCTTTCAGTAGGAAGTTCTTCACATCCCTCGAGTGTGGAACATACAAGCCAACCATTGCGTTTAGGAGAACTACACGTTTGAAATCACACAGCAAACTCATTTGGCTGTGGTTTGTTATACAAACCCAATCGTCGTTCAAATCCCTACTGTCGTTCTAATTGGTGGGAATCGCTTCCTTGGACAGAGAAACAAAGGCCCACATGGTGTATCGGCCACTGACACTGTATCTGGTAGGAGCTGAAGCGTCCCAGCTGCACTCCTAGGACTTAGTGTGTCTGAGGTCCTATTGGCTGAAGGCGCCGGGCTATACACGCACACCGACACACCTGCACAAGTGAGCGGCGCACGCACGGCTCAAAGTAATTGAATAAAGACTCATCATGTATGTCCCTCAGCGAAAATCCTTTGCCGTTCAGAGTAATTCTGTTGCCCAGGGGGACAATTTGGCAGAGGAATGGTATAGGGATTGTTGCAACAGCGTCTCCGGAGGCGTGCAACCAATAGAAAGAGGATAAGCTGGGTGACATTGATTCAACAACCTCGTGAGAGTCATGTATCGTGGGTTCAGGTACACTACACCCAGGCATACTAACCCTAACCCAGTGTGTCTAACGTGCGTGTAAGTGCAGTCTGTTGATCTAGTTGTCTTGGAGTGCGAAAATTAAACGAAGCAAGACAACGTGGCCGACAGGCGTTCAGTGGGTGGTACGGAAAGGTAGGTGTATATAGTATGAGTATAGTGACAGTGCGAATACTTTTGATAAAAGAAGGCAGTAGTAGTACGGCGGTACGCAGTATGGACGCTTCGCCGCCGCGCAACTACCATCATTTGGACGCGGACTAAGGATACTGCGAGGATCACGCGGTCCCCACGTAGGCTCGATAAGGCGCCTCGGTAGGCTCGTGATCTATAAGGTTACGGTTCAGCGCTGTCGATAAGGCTGGCAATTATGCAAGAGAACAGGTGGGATAGAAGGGAGGTGCTAGCAGTAGCAAGTTTTTCCTTATCCGTCCTGCTGTATGCAGCAGATAAGGCGACCCTGGATAAGCTGCGTTACGGCCGATGAAGGACGTGGTTATGGGGATGTAATCATGTTTACACGTGGGCTGAGATACTGCCAGGATGCCCAGACCCAGATAGGAGGATGATTAGGGTCTTTAGTTAAAGCGTCCAACTCAAAAGTTTATCCGAAAAGCAGCATAGAGGTTGAAATGATTTTGTTTTAGAGAAATAGACGCAATCCAGTTGCTAACCCATAACCTAGGGGATCAGGAGTGAGTTCGCATGACCTCTAATCAATGAGCAATCTGGCAAGGGTAGCTCTCAAGATGTCCGGGGGTACCGATAGGTATGTCACAATGGGTCGAAGAGGTAAGCAAAGCCGCGCAACACGTTAAGGTCCGGTCTCGTTACGTCGGTAGTAGCTCGGAGAACAAGTAAACACGAAACCTAAGCTACCAAGATTTGGATCTACTGCTAATTTACGGAGCTATCCACATCTGTCAACGGGAACGCAAAAGAGAGCGTGATAAGCACAAGTGCCTTTCTGATGATTCGTCACAGCCATGGATGACGGCAGCGGATGGTCATGACTGATATCCAACTGTAACACAGCGCGGCTTATCCTTCGCTATCACCCATGTTATGAACGTGCAGAGGACAGGGCTGGCCCCAGAGCGACAACTTCCTTTACAAGTCGCTAGTAAGCGAGGTGGCATGTAAGCTGTTATATCGCAGTTCGATACCAGTCATGACAGTCCGCTGCCGTCTCCCGTGGTTCAGTGGCATTAGAAGCTGACTAACAAAAGTAAGGTCGTGGGTTCGAATCTGAGAGGATTCGGCGGATGCGCGCTATTGACGAGTCCAAATAGGACGAAATGGCTGGCTAGCGCTGTCCTGAATGTGTAATGATTGTCTAGCTACGACGAATTATCACAAGAATGCAAACAAACCCCCTACTGCTCTCTAATAAGCACAGTTGTGTTGATCACACATTGTACGCTCAAAAAGAGGCACAACCTAGTTGCAACGCGAACATGAACTGCACATACCATCTAAAAGCCACGGCAAAAGACGGTCATCCGACCACAATACAGGTGCTGGATCGGGGTCAAAGAAGCAAAAAGGTAAACTGAATGTGACAGAGCTAGTAGAATGGTCGCCATTAGTGGTTCAGTACCATGTCAGCGACAAGCCAGAAGGAAATCGCTTCAAATTGCCAAGGAGATGTGGTAAGAGATGAAGGGCACTGCGATATAGCTAAGCCAAACAACCTGCAACTTTCTTCAGAGAGCGTACTGAATGTGATGTCGACCAGGCATGTTGCGAGTGTAAAACGGGTGAAATGATTTAGACTCACAGTTTGCCGGAAGTATGATAGAGACGCCGAAACTATCTCGCAATTGCGCAAGCACAATAGCGAAGGAGGAACTAAACAGAAACCATCAAAATAGGGACCAACTAACCATAGAAATGGGGTCGGAGAAGAGCAACCCGATGGTTCGCCCTGTGTCTGGAAAACAACCGACGCCGACGCCAGCCAGCTCCTCTAGGATGTGCGCATCAGGGAGAGCCCAGCAATAGAGGTACAATTTATGACCAGGCGCGGGAACGTGCTGATACGGTGCGGCCAACTTGCGAGCAGGCTAAACAAAAATGAAGACCGCATAGACAGAGAATGTCAGTCAGTCAGTATGATGAGTGCCCAAAGGATGACCAGCAGAAAAAAAACCGAGGCTACAAGGAAAGATGATACTAGGATGGGAAATGGGTAAGCTACCACGTAACTGCCTTCATGTATGGAACCTAGTAAATGTGCCAAACATACCGGTTAACTCGCAGGATTAGATTTGGGTGACCCCCGATTGTCTACGTAATCGGATTGCGCTGGACACCAGACGGGATTTTTCGTTAACGAGCTCAACAACATCTTGTAAGAGCAACAGCCTAGGTGCTCGGAGAGAGGTGGTGCCGCTGAGTTGCGACTGAATATAGGAACAAAGCATCTCCGATACCAAATATGATTGCATTCAAGCAAATGCGCAGAATGAACAACAAGTTACCATGCCCAGCATGGGTGACAGGGTTGCGTCATTGGAGTTTCCACATACCAAAACAGCTTGTAGCGTTGTCAAGGTAAGTAAACAATTCAAGTTTGTGTTAATAATTTTACTTCCTGGCTCGACAGTCCCGCGGAGCGCGAAGAATCTCTGTCGAATGGGAAAATGAGAGAAGCACTTTATCACGTAATGACATCATCCAATAGCTGGTGCCCCGTGTTGAGTCTAAACTTCGGCGTTGTGCACCGCGGCAGAAATATGACTATGTCTAGCCTCGGTTTCTTTGGAACGAGCAGATGCATAGATAATCCGCATGACACTGATCAACGTTAAACGGTAGACAGAGGAAGTTTATGCACCACCAAACGAAATAATCGATCCGCAACAACTTGGTTGATGTGCTTCTAATGAAAGTCAAAGAAAGGCAGCAGACGAAAGCATGCAGAAAATCGAGTAACGTTCGAAAACAAACGACAAGCGAGAAAAAGCGAGCTTACGATTAATGGTGGTGTAAGCGAATTACGTCCAAAACCTTTCAAGATTACTTAGGCAAGGTATCGGCATCCGTTTAGAAGCGACCAATGATGAGGGGGCACGGCTATCACCGGTGATTACCATTCTCCATGTAGCCGTAATGATGACAAAACACACCAGTGTACCAAATTTTCCAGAGGTTGAAACAACAGACTTGAACAGACATTTATATCACTAACGATTAGAACCATAGCTGAAATAGTCAAAATAAGCAACAGCAGCAGCCACAGAATTGTAGCTGGAGTATAAGCAGAATGCGGTGATAAGTAGCGTCAGACAGCATGCATGCGACGGTCATAGTAAAAATTGTCGAACGAGTTGCTCAGGAGAATATAACCAGTTAATGATAAACGGGCCTTGAAGGATGTCAGGTCCGAATTTCACTACGACTCGAATGGATAGTAGTCTGGTTCCCAGTCTACGAGTCGCTGGTTCGATTCTACGACCCCGCAGAAAAGCTAACACTCACATGACTTCTGGTGGTTTGGCAAGTGTCCTGATTTGGAACACAGAGCGCGTATGGCTTGTTGGGTAGAACAAGTTTGGGAGGAGTACAGTTGGCCCTCTACCTCCGTGCAAATTCCTATTCCGATGATGTAGGATGAGTCATGGCCGGTTAGTCTAGACACTATCGGAGCGTGAGGTCCGAGAAATGATCACAGCCCACGACCGTTTTTGAGTTGCTGAGCTGGATTCCCTCCCAAGCGTAAAATTAAAGTATGGTAAATAGGTTCTCTGTAAGGCACTGACCTCGTTGTTCGAACAAGTTTGGAAGGAAGAAACTATCCCGGCTAACTGGAATGAATCGATTATTGTGGCGACATACCAGAAGGGCAGCCGTACCGACTGAGTTAGCCACAAAGGTATTAGCCTTACGACGGTGGTGACAAAATTACTGGTCTCAATTCTTGTCCGACGCCGCGCTGCGCAACGATACTCTCGGATTAAAGAACAGCAGACATGCTTCCGCCTAGGACGTGGCTGTATAGACCACATATTCACACTGCGGCAGGTGCTAGAACAGCGTCACACGTACCGCACACCGAGAATAGCTGTGTTTCTCGACTTCAAGAGTGTATTCGATTCAGTAGATCGATGCATTCTGTTCTAAAAACGTGCGCGGAAAGGTTTTCCTATGAAATATGTGAACATGTTACGTCCTCTATACTTGAACACCACAGGCCACGTAAGGGTCCACAGTGATTTGTTGGATGGCTATCCAATAACAAGTGGCGTTCGTTAGGGTTGTCCAGTCCCCCCACTTTTGTTCAACTTCGTCGAGAACTCCATCATGGAGGGTTCTCTTGCGCTAAGATGCTGCTTGGTAAAAGGATAGTTGATCTTGATCATGCGGACGTTGTTATCCTGTTGTTTAACGATGGTGCGACGCGTAGTCAACCTTGAGAAAAAGGTCTGGTGGTTTCATCGTTTAGTATACGCTTAACACCTTTAAAGTGCCAAGTGTTGCTGCAAGAGCATTAGCGAACTGATGGCTAATTGATCCTCAATAACGAGGAACTCGTAGTAGTTGATCGATCTGCTAGTCTTCGCAGCTGTATTAGCGACGGTGAGTGCTCATGTACTGCAAAAGCTGAAACTGCCTTCTTAAATCTGCGATTTCTGTGGCAACAGAATTAGGTTTTCCTCTGTCTGAAAGGCCGTGCTTACAAAGTGACAGTGAGGATCCTCCTACCCTATGGGAGTGAGGACCTGTGGTGCCCTCAAGTCTTGGATCATCCCTGTCAGCGAAGCATTGCTGGTGTCAAATGGCACTAACGTGTTCGTAATGATGAAGTACGTAGCCGTGTGTCAGGCATTGACAATCACGCTAGTTCCTTAGAACAACACATGGCAATGAATTAGCTTCGTTGGCTTGGGCACGCACTACGTATGCCTGGTCACCGCTTACCGAGGAGAGCCTTTTTGTTTACCAGATGTATGGTGGCACAAGGCTCGAGGGAGAAGGAAGTTGAACTTGGCAGCGAAAAATGAGGTCGCTGACGATCAAGTCAGTGCCACTGGTCCGTCCCACCTTCCGAACTGAAGTCCAAGTGACTTGCTTTGTGCTTGGCTTGTGACTTAACAAGACATGTCTCGAAGTCGGGACCAGTGGCGTGTCTGCTGTTATCTCCTAGTCAGAATGCCTGTTTAAAGTGTGCTTGGTGCTGTTATCTGCGGAGTAATGGATGATTATGACGTGCGGTATTGAAAACTGCAAGGAAACGGTCTCGCCGATGTCGCCTTATCTTTCCACCATAGCCAGCTGCCGATGATGGTATGTTGCTTAAAAGGGCAGGCGCCTTGACCCTGAGTTTCTTTAGGAGATTAAGGTTTCACCGCAGGTCCCACTTCTCTCCCTCTTAATGTTCTTTATTCCGCAGATCCCCGTGGCTGTACGGCAAGGAAACGTCAAGAATGGCTGTAATGTTGCTGATAATAATGATGATAGACGGCCGTTGCAGCATCTTGGTACTCGTCAGCAGCGCGCATCCGTCAGATCGTGCCGATTCAAAAGCCACGACACTACACTTACAAGCCAACGACTTTTTCCACTGAGCCATAGGTGAAGCCGACGGATTGCCATGACTGATTTCTAACTATGGTATAGTGCGATTCGTCCGCCACTGCCATGCATGTTATGTAGGTGCAGAGGACATTGCTGGCCCCTAGAGCTATGACTTCCCATGAAGCGGTCACCAACTGGGGTAGCACGTAGGTTTCTAAGTCGATTATTGATTATCAAACATAGGTAGGAGTGCAATAATGTTTTGAGGAGCAAGTTGATAAAATGAGTCAGTCGTAAAAGAGCTGTGGACTTCAGTCCAGGAAACGTGGTACACACCAAAAATTAGGGCATTCAGTGTGTGCTGTACAATACCACAGTCCCTATAATGAAAGCCTGGGAAACTCCGTTTCATGACAAGAAATTCATACATTCACTCAATCTACACATTAGCTTAAGATGGGAAACGGTCAGCCATTGCACGGCAACAGGATCCAATTAGAGATGGTCTTAGGAAAAAAAGAAAAACAAGAGAAATACCACAAAGCTTTGCTGTACTTTTGCTCGCGACACCACACTCCACAATCGATCCCATGTTTGTTCGCATTACGTAGTTGGAAATGCTTGGAGCACCTGCAGTGTGTCTTGGATTGAGACGCACCATCTCAATAGTGGTTTCGGTTGACTTTGGAGCTAGCCTCCGCCATTCCGATCACTGGGACCGTAGCTGAAGTGGAGAGTTGAGGGGTTCCTCCTCTGCACTGCACTCCACAACGCGTTTCGGCCTCGTATGGACTTATCAGGAAAACATGTCTTGATATGGAAGTGGAACTCGGCACATAGTGGTTGGCGGCAATCACCATGATCACTGGGTCATTGGGCTTCGCCAGTAACGCTTCACACAGCGAATAGGAGTGAAATGTTGTGTTTTGGAGTACTTGTCGTGTGTCTTGGATTACGACATGCAATCTCAATTGGGGTCCCGGTTGACTAAGATATCAGCCTCTGACAGATGGAATTAAACCGGGTCACATCTTTTAGTGTAATGCGGTCGATATCCAAGTGTAGCTCCTTTCATAAACCCAAGGACAGAACGCATTTCTTCAGTGAGATCCGGTCGTACCAACTTGAAATAAAAATCCGGTTGCTGACAATGATCAGGAGTATCTGATACAGGAGGTAAACAAAAATCAGCGAACATCGGAATCTGCTCGCCATTCAACATATAGGCAGTTTGACATCTTTCTTCCAAAAACAGTGGTGGCGGCATCACGTCCACAAAAGTGGCAGAAACGCTGAAAATGACCGAACTGCAGTGGACGACGAACAGTTATGCAACAGCATCTTAAGAGCAGAACGAAGTTTTGAAAGCCTCCAAGTAAGCGGAAAGTGGGAGGTAGAAACAATCCAGTAAATTGAATTAAATTGCAGTAAATTGTTCTCGACTCTATTTTAGAAGCGCTTCACCAAAACTAATGAAGATGAGGTAATAGCATCTAGTATCAGACAAATGTAAGAGTTTATGAAAAACTGCAGGCAAACTCCAAAA